GTCTTTTGCTGATAGCTGTCATACTTGATGTCAAACTCCGATCAAGCAACTCACATTGTCCATCGTCCTCTTTAAAGTTCAGTGATTGACATTCAAGGCTTGACATACACTCAAGTGTGCATTGCCGCTTTGTTTTACCTACAAAGGATTTTAACACATTGCCTGTCACTGCCATGTCTTGTAAAACGATGTTAAAGTCTCCGTAATACTGGCAGCTCTCTCGCAATATTGTCGCAAGATTACAACCAACGGAAATTGACAAAATTACCGCCTTGATTGACATGATATATGCCTTTGCTACTGAACTATGCTTCTTCATTTCAGCAGCGTCTTACTTCAATCAAAATTGAAATAGGTTTGCTAAATTTGTTGGTGACTTGTAATTTAACCAAACATTCTCACCAGAATGAATGGTTTACCAAATCTGCAGGTGGTCTTTATTCCATGGTTAATCCAGATTCACTTTCTGACGAAATGATTGATTACGATATTTATGTATCAGTAGGTTTCCAAATGACAAATTTTTCCAATCAATTCTTTTCGATTAATTACTTTCTCTTTATGTTGAAACATTTTGTCAGACGATGCGCTGAAAATTATGTCTAATTAGGTCTTAATCAGAGGTGGTTTTAACTTCTTTGATTTTCGATTTTCATGTATGGAGTTCCTCAATCCTCGCTCTTTAGCCCACTTCTTCTTATGAAGTTATACAGCACTTCAAGGCTCCTGGAATTTGGCTTGCAAAAAGTATCATACTTTCTCAAAAAAGGCTTTTTGTTGATTACTGGAAACTCCAGACAGCAGACAAAGAGTTAAATTCTAAATTCAAGTACCATTGCGTTATCCATTGAAATATTTTGAAATCAAATTGAAACCATGTATGCTAGTTAGCGCGTAACACCTCACAAGTGTCTCTTGCTTGAGCATTGTTCTGTGATACTAGTTTAAACTGAACACGTAAATACCCCATGTCATTGATAGTGACATCCATTACGGCCCGTGTTCATTCAATTAAAGTGCCAGCATTTGTTAAATCGAAAACTTTAACAAACTTAAATCCCGTTATTATGAAGAAGTACTTTATCCTTCGAACATGAAGCATTACCAGAAAATGAACTACAAATTATAGTAACAAGACAGTGAGCTCATTAGGTCCAATAATCTAGATTTCCCTACCTGTGAAATTCATAGACAATTCAATCGCTTACCATGTGTACACGTTGCTTATGTTTAAAGAAGAAATATCAGTTGATTACGTCATTTACCGACCTTGCTTCGAAACCATTGTTGTTGTTAGGCTAGGCCAAGTTTTTATTCGCCTTTTATTACGAAATTCCTGGCCTGGAATATCGCAAAAAATATCTTGATTGTTGGTGTCATTCTCCATTTTAATAGAGTGTCTAACAAGTTCGGCGCCCAAAGTAAGGGGTCCCTACTTAAAGCATTGGGAGGTGGATGTGGACAAACAAAAGAAGACTTGTATTGAGAACGATGGTTGAAATGGTCTAATTTAAAGGACAAGTGACACGCTTTTGGCGCCAATTTTTTTTCTTCTATTAACTTAAAGTAAAATGCTGTATGAGAGTGTTGTTGAAATATTTTTCCTTTCTGAATTCATTTTCCTACTTAAAAACCCTTTCAAAATTATGGCGGGAAATGAATCACGTGACACCGTGACGTAGATTGTGATAATCTGTTATTGCTGCTACTGGTATACAGTGCAATATTAATGTTTACAACACGCGTCTAAACGAATTTAGTTCGCCTGGACCTGTCGCGTCGTGTTTTGTAGACTCTCTAATAATGACAGGAAAATTCCGAGTTATCACAATGTACGTCATAGGGTCACGTGATAAAAAGCAAAATCGCGCCCCCTGCGCCCCCTGATTAGAATGATTATAAGGAGGGAAGTGCCACAAACCTTTGCCAACATCTTCTTACAATGTCGCAATATTAGAATGAGGACCCTGTAAACTTTCTCATACGTGCCATGGACTGCACACAAAAGATTTTATTTGCATGCAGAGAGGAAACAGGAGCTGATCTAAAGTAAAGTCCGAGTAAAGTGAGTGGATTTTTTCGCCAACCAGTTGAAACTGGTTTAGCAGATGATACAATTCGCATGCGTCTGCATCTATTTTTAAAAGAAGTTAAAGTTGATGGTGAAATCGTAATCAATGAAATGCAACTGGCAGGTTTAGCCGAAGCATAGAGGCAGGAAAAGGCTAGCTCTAAGTACAAAAGTAAATAGAGTCAATGAAATTTTAGTGGCAGACAAAGCTCTTTCACAAACACACATAAAATGTTGATAATTCAGAAAAACCTCTTGCAGTACTAGAACAAATGAGCTGTAACTTTGCAGCCATCAAAACAGAATCGATGAAGTGAAAAATTATCGGAAAGAATAAGCTAAATCCAATAAAACTCTCAGCGCTCAATGGACACTTCATACAAAGAAGTTGGAAGTTTAAATGTGATCATTGCTTTATTTGTGGAAACTCAGATCATTTCATTAGAGGCTTTAAAAAAAGAAAACAGGGAAATTACAAGGTGCTACCGTAACGGGACTACCGTTAGCTTCTGATGTTGAGATGTCCCACAAAAAAACAAGGTTACAAGGTCAATCGTTGGTGAAGTGGGACAATTACTAGGCCTTCTGGGATATCATCGTCGATTTATCCCCAAATTTTTAACAATTGCCTGTCCAACTAATGAGCTTCTGACAGATTAAAAATACTTAAATAGTTCAAAAAGTTTTGAGCTTCTGATAAGCTCAAAAATACCAAAGAAAACAAATGGATAATTGATAAAATGGAAACGGGAACATCAGAAATCGCTAGTGCACCTCATTAGCCATATAACTAGTACATCAATAAAGGGATATCTTGACTTCAACTTGCCATACATAGTTCACACTGATGCAAGCGAAAAGGGTTTGGGTGCAGTTCTTTACCAAAAACAGGATAACCAAAAAGGAATCATATCATATGAATCTGGTACACTAACTCAATGTGCAAAGTATTATCATATGTACAGTGGGAAATTAGAGTTTGTTGCCTTAAAGTGGGCCATTACAGACTAGTTCAGAGATTATCTTTGCTATTCAACACTATTTGGCATATTTACAGACAACAGTCCGCTTACATATGTGCTGACCACAGCGCGTTTAGATAAAACAACACTTTGATGGTTGGGAGAGTTAGCTGATTTTAAGTTTAGAATTTATCATCGTCCAGGAAAGACAAATGGAGATGCGGATGCCTTGCCACGTAACCCACTGGACATTACAAAGTATAGCTTTTATACTGTGCTCTTAAAGTGCTAGATATTAGTCGAAAAATGATGAAATCAATTCGTTATCATTGCTTCTTCACTTCAGATCTACTTATTTTATGAGTATATATGCGAAAACCTTCTGTGCACTCATTGTCGCTCCAGTATAAACACCAGTGGGTTGTAAATGAGAACCGCCAATACCTATGCCAATGGCTGAATCAGGGGTGATGCAGTCGTTCTCGTTGTTGCCAAGGATTCCAATCCTCACTCGAGCGTCTACACTACCGGTAATGACGTTATTGAACCCTTGTCTATTGCAATAGGGCTGGAGCTGGCTTCCTTTCAGCAAATTGCGCCAATTACTTAGCTGATCAGTTGCTTTTAAAGAAGACAATTGAATGGTTAATCAAGGATCACGCTTCGGTCACCAGTGCAATAAGCGCTACTGTTGAGCACAAATATATCTATTGGTCCCATTTGTTAACCCAAAACATGATTAAAAGTCATTAAGCGGAAATACGAGGATGATGAAACACTTTGAAGTGAATTAAAGTATTGTCTTTTTGTAGAACTATTGAAAACAAGCGTTGATAATCAAAGTTCAAAAATGTTGCAAAATGATTACGCATTCATGCAATTCTATTTATTCTATATAATACTATATTTTATATTCTATATTCTATATTCTATATTCTATATTCTATATTCTATATAAGTCACTTTGATTCTCAGAGACCGTCAAAGTAGGCCTTTAACGCTTTAAGAACTTTAAATTTTCACACTGCAATTTGCTGTAATTTTAGTAGTTACTTTTCTGGATTTTTAAGTTACTTTAGCTACTCTTCTGGCTAGAAACATTCATTTACTTCAGTTAAAGGCAATGATATATTCGTCCAGAAAAGAACCTAACGTAGCCGTCACACAAAAGGAGAATCTTTAAACTGTCATTGATTAGTAGAGTGGTTCATTAAGATGACAATCATTACGACATTTGGTGATATCTTCATGATGCAGTAACTTACCTTTGAAGGAGCCTTGAAAGTATGTCAAAAGTGATGTTGATCTATGACCTAGAGTAATGTAGCTTTTCTCACTTCCCGACCTCATCCCTACACAAACTCGAGTAAATGGCAATGCATTGAATGCTGGGAACTTCGCTTCCTGGTCGCCAAGAAAACCCTCTGTCAAAGCATAAACGTGGTTGTAGACACTGCTTGATGTCCAGTGACTTGACTCGTATCGAAATGTGTTCTACCGTAAGAGTATAGAGAAGTTATATTTACAAGAGCATTAGAAAATATTCTAGAGATTCTAAAGATTGTCATGTTTTGCATCACTTTTAAAGGCAGCCTGTCATCTGCTGTACTCAATTTAATTTTCACTGGCGTAGAAATCATTCTTGGTTGATTGTTATGAGCTATTAGCGTTATTAACCAATCAGAAAATACTCTGGATGCCATCAACCTCCCATTGTTGATATCAGCCAATCACAAAGCTGACAGACTGCCTTTAATCTGGTCCCTAGGGTAATTGGTCAGAGGCCTTATTGCACAGGGAAATTTTTAGATTTCGAGGGAGCATGGGGGCCTATTTGAGGAAGAAAGGGGCCTACTTGAGGAGAGAGTTGGGCCAATTTAAAGAATGAAGGAATGAAGGGGCTCACTTGAAGAGAAAAGTGGGCTAATTTGAAGAGGATTCGTGTGCACTGGTCTTTTGAGGGGGGGGGGGGGGGGGGGGGGTGGGGCGAGGATTTGAGGACTTATCTGTAGTATCGAGAATTGGAACCATCTTGTAAAATATAGATTTCCTACGCCCGCCTCAAATTTCAACTCCTCTACCTTACACAGAATTGTGGTTACCTTTTTAATGAATGTGTCCATAGAAGCATTTCGAAGATATTTAACCCACATAATTGTCCAAAAAATGCTATTAATCTATGCATTAAGCTGAATTTTCTGTTTGGTTCTTAATCTGATAATAAGCGGTTTTTATGGAAGAGTTGTTCTTACCAGTCTTCCATCCGTCTTTAACACCAGTGTCCAGCCTCCAACTCCGTCACAATTCGTCGTCCTATTCAGAACACAATAATGGTGTCCAATGTTTGAAAGCAAGTAAACACCATCCTTGCGATAACCCGCTATGTAGGCTGCTTGGCAACTGGCAAAGCCTTGAAAATGCAGAAAGAGGAAACTTGCTTAAGACATCCTATTTGGCTTCATATCAAAGGTACTTGTTTCTTAAAATACAGGTGACTGAAAATATTGATGGTTGGTTTTTAGATGGTTAGAGCTTCTGAACGAAAATGGCTTTGTTACCACAGGCCGGTGATGATATTCAAGTCTGCTGGATTCAATTTCATGAAAGATAACAGTATATCTGTGAACCAATGCATTTGTAAAATAATTGGTTCCTTAAAACAGCTGGTCTTTAAGGCAATTAAAGTTTAATTAGATTGTGTTAAATTAGCGAATAGAAGATGAATGTATTAATACACTGACACGAAAATACACACAAATTTTTCAAATTACTGATAATGGAAAGTAGAGAGGTTGCCTTAACGTAAATGAATATTTCTTTTAAAGTACCCCCTTGCTTGGATATAAACAGCAATAAAGCTATATGTCCGTCCTTGGTATGTTTTTTCCTACAATTGCACTTGATATCTTCTTTTTTCAGGCTCGCTCCTTTTTGGTCTTATTCTATAATAATTAAGCTATATTTTCGTTTGGCTATAATTTCTTTTTGTCTGATACAGACTCAGTTGGCAATTGTCAGTCACAAAGTAGCAAAAGAATGCTCCTATCCCTCTAGAGAATATGCTTTTATCATTATCACGATGATACAAGCCATATGTATTGAAGCCAGAAAAGTCTTTTTAGATAATCTTACTTGAATAAATGGGCTCTGAAAATGAAGCATTTTAAAGACATGTCCAACTCTGAAGGTTATCAGATAAAATCTTAAATATGTCTCAAAATGTTTATTTATTAATGTTTTTCATATTTCGTACCAAAAACATTTTGTATATGTTCAATAATTTCCCAAATTTCACAAATTATAGTAAGATGGCAACAGAGTTATCGGGGAGTTTACATTGCTGCATTTTGTAGGTGCGAGAATGTCCCTTACTTCTTTCATTTTCGCAATATTTGCCTGTAAACATTTCTTTGCATTGGCACTTGAACCCATCTTCCGTGCATGTATCCACACATTTACCACCATTTCGGCAAGGAGACAATAATGCACACCGTGGACCAACCTAGTAACAAGACATTGCAAGTGAAACATTTTATGTGAAAACAATCTTTATCGTCATAGACACAGCTTTATAGGGGCGTTAGAAAGAGAGAATTTTGATAGGTAGATGATCTTTCCTGGGAGTATAGACCACGTTTGCTGTACATTCTAATCAATATAATGTCGAAAGAAACCAAAAAAAGAATGAAAGGACAAAATATCTTACCATTTATTTTTAAACATTACTAATGTATCATTAAGACCGCTGTTTCTTACACTATCTTTTCATTTTTTCTTACTTATTTTTTAAAGCCAACTTTAATGGGTTCACATATGATTGCGGACTTACTCAAAGTTATTTCTAACATACCCTAGGCATAAGAAATTCATCTCTCCACCCAATTTTATAGGCTTTGGTACCCAGATTATTTTCAAGAATACTTACATTAGAAGCTTCTTCGTCTGTTGTCATGTACACCCAGCCAAGTCTTTTGCTGATAGCTGTCATACTTGATGTCAAATTCCGATCAAGCAACTCACATTGTCCATCGTCTTCTTTAAAGTTCAGTGATTGACATTCAAGGCTTGACATACACTCAAGTGTGCATTGCCGCTTTGTTTTACCTACAAAGGATTTTAACACATTGCCTGTCACTGCCATGTCTTGTAAAACGATGTTAAAGTCTCCATAATACTGGCAGCTCTCTCGCAATATTGTCGCAAGATTACAACCAACGGAAATTGACAAAATTACCGCCTTGATTGACATGATATATGCCTTTGCTACTGAACTATGCTTCTTCATTTCAGCAGCGTCTTACTTCAATCTAAATTGAAATAGATTTGTTAAATTTGTTGATGATTTGTAATTTAACCGATTGGTTTACCAAATCTGCAGGTGGTTTTTGTTTCATGGTTATACTAGATTCATTTTCTGATGAAAAGACTGTTTAAGATTTCTATGTATCAATAGGTTTCGAAAAGACTAATTTTTTCAATCAACTCTTTTCATTCAATTAATTTCTCTTTATTTTGAAACATTTTGTCAGACGATGCGCTGAATATTATGTCTAAATAGGTCTTGATCAGAGGTAGTTTTAACTTCTTTGATTTTCAATTGTCATGTATGGAGTTCCTCAATCCTCGCTCTGTAGCCCACTTCTTTTTATGAAGCTATACAGCGTTTCTAGGCTCCTGGAATTTACCTTGCATAAAATTTCATATATGGTACCCTTTTATAACTCATATTTTCTCAAAAAAGCCTTTTCTTTAATTACTGGAATCTCCAGACAGGAGACAAAGAGTTAAATTCTAAATTCAAGTACCATTGCGTTATCCATTGAAATATTTTGAAATCAAATTGAAACCATGTATGCTAGTTAGTGCGTAATACCTCACAAGTGTCTCTTGCTTGAGCATTGTTCTGTGATACTAGTTTAAACTGAACACGTAAATACCCCAAGTCAATGATAGTGACAATATTTACGGCCCGTGTTCATTCAATTAAAGCACCAGCATTTGTTAAATCGAAAACTTTAACAAACTTAAATCCCGTTATTATGAAGAAGTACTTTATCCTTCGAACATGAAGCATTACCAGAAAATGAACTATAGTATCAAGAGAGTGAGCTCATTAGGTCCAATAATCTAGATTGCCCTACCTGTGAAATTTATGGTCAATTCAATCGCTTACCATGTGTACACGTTGCTCATGTTTAAAGAAGAGATATCAGTTGATTACGTCATTTACCGACCTTGCTTCGAAACCATTGTTGTTGTTAGGCTAGGCCAAGATTTTATTCGCCTTTTATTACGAAATTCCTGCCCTGGAATATCGCAAAAAATATCTTGATTGTTGGTGTCATTCTCCATTTTAATAGAGTGTCTAACAAGTTCGGCGCCCAAAGTAAGGGGTCCCTACTTAAAGCATTGGGAGGTGGATGTGGACAAACAAAAGAAGACTTGTATTGAGAACGATGGTTGAAATGGTCTAATTTAAAGGACAAGTGACACGCTTTTGGCGCCAATTTTTTTCTTCTATTAACTTAAAGTAAAATGCTGTATGAGAGTGTTGTTGAAATATTTTTCCTTTCTGAATTCATTTTCCTACTTAAAAACCCTTTCAAAATTATGGCGGGAAATGAATCACGTGACACCGTGACGTAGATTGTGATAATCTGTTATTGCTGCTACTGGTATACAGTGCAATATTAATGTTTACAACACGCGTCTAAACGAATTTAGTTCGCCTGGACCTGTCGCGTCGTGTTTTGTAGACTCTCTAATAATGACAGGAAAATTCCGAGTTATCACAATGT